CCCCTTTTTTTCTTTATTTGTTTTCAATTTTTGCATCTTAATATTTTTTAAACACCCAATTTCCCGACACAAACCCGAAAAACATTTCTCAAAAAATGCAGGACAACTCAGCGAACATGTCCCTCATGATAAAAAATGACAAAAAAAAAATCCTGCTTTTCTTTTTCAGTTCTTTTTTAAAAATTTGTTTAAATTGATTTTCGTTTTTCATTTTTTTAAAATCTTTAGCGAAGGCGGATTCCAAAGTAAAAAATATAGGATTGTAGGATTTTCCAAGCCCTACATCCCTATATTTGTTTTTTGTTTTTTTTACGTATTTTTAGGGGTAAAAAAAAATATTAAAAAACCAGGCCGCGAACAGGGCCTCATTGGCCGCGGCTGAGGCCGAATTGCCCGCGGCCGTGGCCGCGGGTGTCATGTAGGAGTGGGGTAAATGAAAACAGACCCCCCACACCCTACTGGTCCGCCCTGCTACGGATATGGTGGGAAATCATGCCGAAAAAAGTGGGCAAACCCAAGTCCAAAGAAGAGGTGTTGAGACGACCCCTGTTTGGTAATCCTTGGGTGAAGGACGCGAGTGACCACCCTTTAACCCTTAAACCTAGAGGAAGGAGATGGGCTCAGATGGCTATTTTGGATAAGGCATGGAGTTTGGAAAGTATGCCACATATGGGATGCGGAGAAGAAAGACTGGGTCACCGTGACAAAACAGGAACTCGCTGGTCGGCTCAAGGGATGTCACCGACGGGATGAGAACCTGCAAATGGTCATACGCTGCACGTTCCAGATGGATGGAAAGAATTACTGAGCGAAACCACAGCATGGAAACCAGGAGAATGGAGGGTCTTGGTACAGGAAGCATCTCCTTCAAGGGCCCAGGCGGCATCTGATGTTTCACAGGGAACAGATGGAAAAAGATTTATCTTGTTTAGGGTCTAGGGTTTAGGGCTTAGGGTTGAGGCTTTGGACGGAAACAAGAAAAGCAGGGGTTCGATAGCCAGGGATTTCTCTGAGGCTCAAATGCGGGGCTTAGGGTTTAGACAGAATCGGTAGCAGTGGTAGCTCATCAGACCTTTGAATTCGTGCTTTTCATGTTTTATTCGACAGGTTCTTATAGTAATCCTGAGAGGAAAGTTGGAAGCAGGGCAAGCGTCAAGTCAATCCTCCACGAGTTTGGACTCTGGAGCAATCAATGCTGATCAGGGTTCCTTCGGCCAGACGGAAGGAAGCGTGAGAGTGTCCAATCATGTAATTACTTGTCCTGACTTGCGGGTGGAATAGGAACCGGACTGATGATTCCCAGAATGGAAATGGAGCCAGGGCCATAAGGACCTGTTTTATTACACACACACACAAAAAAAAAATAAAAAAAAAATCCACTCACAATGCAAAGACACCCCGCAGCAGCACGGTATGTCGGAGCGTTTGCCTCCTACCAAATGCACTCACAATCTACCAGCAACCATCAGCCAGCAACTCACTAGCCTGAGACCCTTGAACCGAAGAAGATCACACAGGACAGGAGTGCAATTGGTCGCGACATCGTTGGGACCGTGGGCATATTACGAGGAAGGACACACACCACTTTATACTAGTGACTTTCAATCGCCTCCCTACCTGGTAGTGCAACTTACATGGTTGCCCCAGACCCAAACACTGGACAGATCCAGGCTGTCCGGCTGGATTTGTCTCCTGGTGCGTCCGGACAGTCTCTACTACATCTATGGACAAGGATTCAGACATCGAGACCTCGACTCTCCGTATAGGGTCCCAGAGGTCTGGCTCTGTCTGGACAGAATAGAATACAAAAAAGAAGCTGAAAATAACAACTCATATAATATAAGTATGCAATATTTTATCGAGTTTCTTTTCCGGGACCTGTTTTCTGATGACAATTGCTGCAATTATGGGCTGGAAGCAATGCTGAGAGGAGCAGTGTTTACTACAATAGGGCCTCTGAGTCAGTCCACCGCTCCGCGAATGACATTGAGCAAAACAAGAATGGATCCTCCGTGAGACAACAGCCCTGGAAGAAACAAGAGCTGATCTATCCCTGTAAACTTTTTTACCTTTTTTTTTCATCGACCAACGGAATAAGCCCAGATCCCGAAAAAAAAAAAAAAAAAAAAAAAAAWCCCARAYCCGGAAAAAAAAAAAAAAAAAAGCCCAGATCCGTTGCCAGGCGGCAGCATCAGCTGGAAAACGAGTCCAGCGTCCCACACAATTTTACTCGAGACATTTTCCACAACCGGGTGCAGAACACTGACCCAAAAAACCTGAAAAAATGCCAAACACCCTTGCTTAGTACTCCCAACAACAGGGGAGGATTTTACCTGCCACCTAACTGTGGAATGTTCTGAAACTACAATACACATAGCGTACCCATTTTGAAAAATTAGAAACAAAGCGACCGGAAAAAAAAAAGAAAAGAAAAGAAGAAGAAGAAGAAGAAGAAGAAGAAAAAGAAGAAGAAGAAGAAGACCGTTGCAAGTTTGGAAGT